AGTTTTTCGTAATCGAGAAAAGATTACTTCCTACCTGATTGTACTTGGAAATTTGGAAAATTCAAACAAGAAACGGAAGTTCATTAAGGCGAAAATTTATGTTCACCCGCAATTATTACTTTCTAACAACCCTTGCGCCTTCTTCTCAACGAAGTTCTCCAACGATCAATCACAGATATTCATGTAACATCGCTGGTTGACACTAACAGTGACATAACCCAAAAAACGTAAATTTTACAGGAAAGACAGTCTAAAATTTGCATTTGATTAATAGTCGAATACCAGTATGAAACTAACGAAGTTAGAAATGTACCATTTCAGACGAAAAATCCTGTATCGATGAAATCTACCTGTGCAAAAAGATCAAAATTGACATTTCCCGAGTTACTCTACTAACGAGATTCTGAATCGTTCAGATCGACCTACAGGCAAACTTTTCAAGAAAATCAAAACGAAACTTCTCCGAACGACACGTTCCAAAAAAAAAAAAAAAAAGGATCCCTCACGTTCCAATATAATCGAAATCCCCGCTGGACTAATTTTCCGAAAAGAGCCCCGCGGTCGTTCCACGTTATTTAGAACAACAGCCTTCCCTTTACGTGTCGACCGGCTCATGGTCAGAACGTAGAAAATGTCGGAACGAACGAACGAGAGGGGCCGGACTGTGTGCGGAGAGAGAAATCTCACGCACGGACCACAAAAACTATCCTTTGCATTTCTCGTCGCGATTCGATTCAAGCACGGACAAACGTTCGATTCCGTTCGCATGGACTTGTCCAAGGAGATTGGATCGCATTGAAGCGGGGACCTTGGAATTGAAGGGTCGTCCCCGCCCTTCCCTAGACGCGATGAAGAAGTGACTGGAGGGTATATAAAATGGTGTACCGAATCACTTACCTGGTATTGGATTGCCGCACAGCCCTTTCCGGTCATTCGATGAACCAAACACGACCAACAGGGAGACGAAACCAAGTAAATTATTGACCGGGGACTCGAACGGATCTCTCCTCCTTTTCGCGGCTTGAATACCCGAACAGCGTGCTCGAATTTGATCGAGCTAGCGAGAGAGAACGAAACAGCCCTCGTAACTCCTCTTTTTATTTCTTCTTTAGAACCACAGATAGAAGGAGAGAGAGAGAGAGAGAGGGAGAGACGTACTCTATTCGAAGTATGGATACATTGTAAATCCATGAGTATATGTATTATGCATTCAGCGGGGACATTGATGAACGACGTCTCTTGTTTCACGACATTCGTCGTTTGGATCTCGGTTTCGCGTCGGAACTGTCGAATGATCAATAGTCGAAAACGCATCGTGAACGTTCAATGGACAATGCATGTATACAGTTGATAAACGTGAAATTTTCCAGCCACGGTTTCGTTTTATTAACGATCCTTTCAATCGTTGGCCTCTTCGATCAGCTTTTTCACATTTTCGTGTTTCGTCCCATTAATCTCATTTGCGTTATACTGTTCCAAGATTGCGATAGAACGACTGTTACTGGGAATACTGGATTTTGAACGGTATCATTACCCTTTTGGCTGGTATCAATGTATTATAGCAGTGATAGGATTTCTGTGCGTGTTCAAATACACGAGCTAAAGCGATAAAGATGCGAAAGAATAGAGTTCCGGACTGATTGTGAGTATACTTGAGAATATCGTGTGAACGAAGGGTGTGTAGCCATTCAAGGATTTTGGTGGACGTAACTGAACGTATCCGAGGAATGTCGGCGCAGAATGAGAGGAAAATTGTGATAGAGAGAGAATCTGCGAAGATGAGTCTTGGTCAGAGAAGAGAAATATAAAAGAATCAGTGCGGTAGAAAGTGTCACAGTGTAGTTAATGAGAGTCAGATTGGAAAAGTCAGCGTGATAGAGCAGTTTAGAGAACAGAGCAGAGTGTCACAGTGCAGTTAATGAAAATCACTGTGCTTTGAGAGACAATAGCACAGACTTGCGTGGAATTCTATTAACTTCAGCTGTGCAATTTTATTTCAACTCTTTGCAGTCGTCTTTTTCCTGTGCATGGTAGTCGTATTGGTCGAAATTATTTTTTGGTAGCGCGCGTTCAGGCAATTATTGCTTAGAAAATGTATAAATTTTATTCAAACGAGTTTGTTTAAACTGCGCGCATATTCTTTCCCCTCCCTTTCTGCATACAAAGACTCTACAGAGCGTTTAGAAGGTATTATGGAAACGCCTTGCCGGGAATTCGACCGCAAAGAGTTAAATTACACCTACCCAATCTTTATCGCGGAAATCACGAAGCCCTACGTCAAAGACGAGTAACCTACTGAGAGCAATCATTCTCTCTGTCAATACTATCGATGATTTTCATATTGGAACTCAGAAAACGTCAAGTTTCTCCCGACGAATGTTAACTTCATTTCAATCGCGACTGAGATTCTACGTTATCAAATCTGAACCTCTGAGCAAGTATCATCGGTGAGAAACGACAACAGTTGAACTGGAGGCAATAAAATTCCCCATATTGGATCGCTGCGAAGCGCGATTACTTTCGAACAAAGCGGATGCAAATACAATTTAGTTGTGGTTCGTTCACAAAAGATCAACAAAAATCGCTGGAAGACGAACGTGGGAGAAAATTAGGACAGTTACAAACGGACGAAAAGGGAATTAGTTGGAAAAGAAAGTTAACTCGTCAGCAAAATTAGCGATATTAATTTTCCTCGTCTGACTCGATTCTGAATGATAAGTAGATCTATAAATGAGAGGCTGGACGAGTCGCATAAGAGATTCAGCCCGAATGATGCGCTTTGCATTCTTTCACCGTTTAATTTAATCACGGATAGAAAGTCTATATTCTCTCGGTTGCGGTATTCCCCCGGTGGAATTGAATTTTATTCAGCTCATTCTTCATGCTAATCAACGGCCATGACCTGCTCCTTGATACTCGATATTCTGTTGCTGCCAGCCCAACCACAGCCTTACCCAGTGAGCTTTTTTACTTTACGAATACAATCAATTTCTATTTGCGACGATCAACAGCGGATGAACTAATTTTAGCAACGATGAGACGGAGGGCTGATTCGATGCAACGAAGGTTTCTAATTAACGCGTTATTACCGATCTTAACACTCTGAGAATCAGTTCTTACAAATTTTGTAAGAAAAACTTACGTTTGAATTCAGCAATCTTTTATTAAATCTCGCTATTTTCAAAATAAATGAATCTTTGAAGATAGTGGAAGGCAGGTTTCTGTGATTATGACAAAGAGAAGAATAACACTCGATTTAAATTATCACTCTAAGCGCCGGACCCGCTTTAAGGCGTAATATGTGGAGTAGCAAGTGGCTGAATATTTATATCATTCCAAATCGTCGCTGTGCCCGTAATAAGCACAGTGTAAAATTTTTGAATCGAAATTTTCTGTTTTATAAGAGTTGTTTTATTCTATTTTGTAAAAGTGCATTTAAGTGTTATTAGACCTATTACAAATCTACACAGAGGAAACTAAATTCATACGTAAGAAAAATTTGCTTTTCAAACGAACCGTCTATCTCGATAACGAAGTGGCACGCGGTTGAGTGACTTTTAATATAACCAGATGACTTTTAGCAGCGCGGATTATCATGGATGATGTCGAGGGAATTTCATCGAGGAACGTGAAACGCCTTCTCGTGAATTTAATATCGGGAACCAGGATTTTTGTTGCTTGCTTTCCACTATGTGAGCAAAGAGCAGACGGAAATATGGGAAAAATGTCAATTACATTGACGGTTTTCGTTGGAACGCACGCGTGTTCCTTCTTCAGGCTAGCACAATGAGGGGACCCGTTTGTTTTCATTTTTTCCACGGTCCATATACATTCTGCTGCACCAGTGAAACGAAATCAAAGCAATGATGAGCTTAATAAAAGACACGCGAAATTTTTCTTTTTTTCTCTAATGTAACGTGACAATAAAAGCTTTCAGCGAATTCCAACTTGTTGAAAAAGATATTTCCTGTTTACGCTCGTACGAGATGTTTTATTTATTTCAACTCGTCGAATATATCTGTCAGAATTTGATCGTTTCACGTTCGAACGCCCTGCATATTGTCAAAAATGAAAACTTACGTTCGCCGCGGTTATATTTCAAGGGATGATCCTCTGTCTATAGAATTGTTCATGTAAATTACATAATAGCGGACCGGAGAGACGCGGAGAATCCGCTTTCCCGGAAAATCCGTATTATCCGCATGTGATCGGACGGTGACTTTTGTGCAGGGAAGCTTGCGCTGTTACGCGAAAATAATGAGCCCACTTAAATCCGCCGTATTGTGAAAATTGTTATTAGGGTATAACGGACGAAATTAGCGGATAAGAACTTTAATCGTAGTCTATGTGCGTGAGAATCGGCGATCGAGGAGGTTAACAGGTGAATATTTTGGGTACTCTTCGTGGAAACTTTACAGTTAAAATGGTAGTTACCATTGTCCGTACTGCTTTATACCGTTCTCTAATTAATTCTTATCTCTGCAGTATATCATTCGACAGATCTTGATAAACTCTCTAAAGCAGAGATGCAAATCTTAATTATCCAAGCGTGTTTGAATTAATCATTAAAAATAGAGGAACATTTAAAGCAACGTATTCAATTAGCTTACAATTAAGCATTAAATTATGAAATTACAAAAATGTAATTTTTCACTTCCTTATATATATATTACGAATAAAATTAAGTTTATTCGTGATGTTAAATTTCCCGAATTTTTCTCTTCTTTCTAGACGCAATTACGGCACTTCCTGTTATCTATTTACAATATAGGTAACCTAGCCGCCGTCCAATGTATTCGTTAAGTTCGCCTTTTTAACGAATTATTCGTTCTAAATCACAGGCTGTTAAATTAAAATCCACCGTAAAAGATCAAGAATGCTATTTCCGAATTTTGGAGCTTTTGCTCAAAAGCACTGTGTCCACGTCACGTAGTAAATCGTTTCAGTTGCCTGTGAACGGAACGTGATGCTATCCGACAGTGAGTTATCGCTTCACTTACCAAATATAGGATTCCCACGGTGCGTTGCTAAACCACCAAGTGTGAGTACGTGCGAGTGATCCGCCGTCACTACGAGAAGCGTCTCTGACAAGTCAACTTCCTTCATCACCGCTCTCACAGCTTCCTCCAGCGTCAATGTTTCGTCTAACGCTCGATAGGCATTGTTATAGTGATGCGCGTGGTCAATTCTACCACCTGGAGACACATAAACAGACCTTCTGCGTTAAATCAAGCATTGTTTCACAGGGTTACGAAGTGAAACGAACCAAGTGAATTATCGCACCATGAGAGGCGACCCGAATAAATTAGAAATCTGGGTTTTGATCGATTAAAGAATTGAAGATAATTAACGTACAATTTTACCGAATAAAAATATTTTCATATCACGATTTTTCTATGATCAGTTTCTATGAATAAATAAAGATGTTAGAAATACGCATGATATTTACTGTGCGTTGTAAAATTGTCATTTAAGTTTCTGAGCTAGTTAACTTCGACGAACAGTTTAGAAAACAATTGAATTTGTTAATAAGAATATCAATAATAGGATCCGATCTGAAAACCTGCTCTCGAGTGTGAAGAGATTTAGCAACGTGGAGTAAAATACCCTCCAACAGATCCTGTTCAAGTATAACTTCTACTTATTACACCCTTACACACTTTAAAGCCAATATTGTCACCATGCGTGCAAGCCACTTTGTTGATCCTATTAACAATTTGAATGTTTCTCGCGCACAGTTTACACCAAGTACAAAAACACACACAAACAAGCAAAAGGGACACGTACGAAACGCCACATGTTACCACATTCAGCAAAAGTTTTAGAAAAGTGAAATTTAACGATTACCAGAATTATCCAATGGTTTTTACCGCGTTCCCCTCTCCACGAAACAGGGACGTCGAAAACTGAGAAAAGAAGGAAGAAAACCGCGACGGAATCGCAGATTCGATGCTGGGGAACGAGCATCGTTAGCATTACCGCCGGGTCTCGCGTTTGGAAAAGCACCCTGGCCATTGCATTTAACGCTAATTATTCAGAACGACCCACAAGAATCTCGGATTCAATTATCGAGCCGGCAAACGACGCCACCTGCAGAATTGATTACCGAAAGTTCAACTTAAAGTTCGCCGCTACGCCACTTAGAAACGATCTAAACTTGCTGGAATAATATGGAAATCTTAAACGCGCGCGTACGTACAGAATTGAGCGAGGAGAGCGTGGAAATCGATTCGATTCCCGGGCAAATCGATGTATACAGGGTGACCAAATTGTTTTCGATCAAACTTCGCGAGCATCTTCTATGGGTAGAAGTAAGAAGAAAATGTTATATGAACATAGGTGGTTTGAAGCTTCGTTGAGAAGTTACAGCAGAAAGTAGGAAGTACGAAGGGAATGGTAACGAACTTGCGGTTGCTATGATACAAAACAAGAATGGCACTGGGGAACGATCCGAGATCGTGAACATAGCTCGCATAAACAGACTAGATGTACATATCGCTGATCTATTCCTATTTTGTGTCATAATAACACGTCAGTTATCATTCTCTTCCTATTTCGTATTATTGCTGTAACTTCTTAACGAAGTTTCAAACGACCCATGTTTATATCACATTTTCTTCTCACTTATACCCGTAGAACATACTGACAAAGTTTCGTCAATGTTGATCGGAAAAAATTCGGACACCCTGTATATACACGGGGGTGCATAACGGGCCATCGTGAAGCTCGACCTTAGGCATCACGCTAAAAGGCTGAATGACGTTCGGTATCGGTTGGCTCGACCAGACGGCGCCGTGGCTGGGCTGCAGCGATTCGGTTTACTGGTGGGCATTAATTCTGCCCCAGCAACGTTACGCAGAAGTTGTGAATGCACGCGCCGCGTGCGTAAATATACGCTGGACCGAACGACGGGGAGTATTTACGGTAACGAGAAAGATTGAACGGGATACGAAAGGGTATTTGTTAGCTTCGCCTGGTGTATTGTGCGTTATATTAATCCATCGGCAAAATCGTGTATTAATCACCTAACGTTAGAAGAACCGATCAGATGAAAAGTGACCCATTGGTACATTTCCCAGAATGAACTTTTGTGTAATTAAACCGTGATTGAAAAATTGGATTCATACCGATAGAAAAAAATTTCTATTATCTTAAATTTTCTTGACCAATTCAAAAAACCGATCCTTTTTGCTTTCATAAATCGATGCTTTATTGTCTCAAAAATATGATATAATTTAACTGAAGTTTATATTCCAAGGGGAAATTATCCCGAATCGTTGAAAATCAAGCCTTACACATATTCTTAAATGTAAATAGTGAAACTTCGAATTTTTGCGATATTTTAATTTTTACTCGAGTTATAAAGAAATAAACGATTATATGTCCAAGTAAAAATCGAACTTTTTCTTTAAAATTCTGCCATTTTGTAATTATTCAATCAAATAAAAATGTCCTATGTTAACCTATGTTATAATGGACAATTTAGTTTCATTTGTTATAACGTAATAACAATAATACAATATGTTAAATATTACTATTGAATATTAAATATATTCAACCTCTCTAATGGTGTCTAAACATAATTTCTAGCTTTAGCAACATTATATGTGGAGCATTTTGTACCCAAAACGAAATAATTGTGTCAGATACGAGGATAATTAGAATTTCGGTGTAATATCTTCTTTAGCGCTATTACGTTTGCAGATTCATAATCGAAAATGGATCTAATTCGTTAATCTATGCATAATAATAGAATTACGGAGCTTTAATCTGATTATCCACACTACATTGTCCCGTTGCCTGGTATACAACATGTCCGCTGGCTTCTGCCTACGGTGCTTCAAATGATTACAGGATTAGAATCAATTACTGATATAAATGTACGATATAACGAGCTGCCAAATATTAGCACAACTAAATACTCACACGTTTAATAGTACTCTTATTAGAATAACTAAAGCACATAATCCCAGAAATTAATTAAAATAGAATTTTGCTTAAGAGACTACTCCAGTCTAGAACTTTTAAAAAATCGATTCTTTTTTTTTTTGGTATTTTCCGAAGGTATAGATTAGGTCGTTCGTTCTGGTTCACACTATAGTCATACTCGTACTAATCGAGAATCTCTGGCTTTTTCGTTTCAGATGAGCAGAATAGCCAGAATTATGTCAGTCAGTAGGGGCTCTTTTTTAAGGGTCCGTACTAAATAATTTATAACTCCGTCAATTTTGATTATTTTCACTTAAAAAAAAAGGTGAATATTCTTAAAACATGAATAAATACGTGTGCAAAAAGTCGATATTAAAAAGTCTTACGGTTCCTTTGCAAAAAAATCTCTAAGAAAGCCTAAAAATTGACACTTTCGAATACCCACTAGAATATTAACTAAGAAAATTACACAGAAAAAAAGATCGGTTTCTTGAAAATTCTAGACAGACGTAACCCTTTCAGAGAAGCATCCAATCGTTCGTATTTCGAAAATTTGTATTTTGTTTAAAGAGAGAATTAAAGAACACACTTGTTGCCGTCATCAACCGAAAAGTACGGCATTTCGTCGACGCCTAATTAAATCGACAACGTCGATTGTTCCGATGAAATATTTTCGCCCCTGTTCGTCGAGCGGACGTCGAATCCCATAAATCGCGGGCCACGATAAAATATGAACGGATGCGCGTCGACGAATAACCCATTGAGAGGAACGATATTTCTGCCCGACTATTTCCACAAATATCCGATCGTCGATCTAAGTGTCCGGTGTTTTGCATTGGTTTGAACGATCGTGTTCTCTGCAATTCCAAGATTGTGGAATACATCAAGCGGTTCGCTCCTAAAAGTGAACACGTCCCGACAGGGGCGAAACGACGACCGCCATTCTCCCTACGGCATTGTGAAAAAATGTTTCACGAAATTGTGGATCATTTCTGTTCTCGACGGGGAACACGGATTCAAGGACGTGGAATTTATGTGATAGTATATGTGCAACGAGTGTGCACGCCCGGGAATGATGAATTTGTGTAGCGAACAGTGTGGTCGGTGAATGTTTCTTGTCATTGTCAAACCGAGAGCAATTTAGAACGAAACGTACCAGCCGGATGGTGGATAAATTTGATTCGAAGCACAAAAAATTAATGGACAGCGGGGGGGCAAAGAGATTCCGGAAACGTTACGTGTAACGATTCCTTCGGGATCGAAGTTGGTGTTAATATCGAGCGGTGTCGCCGAGTATTTGTATTTCGACGCGATTAAAGGGGTGAAGAAGTACTCGAAATTTAACGGGGCTGCGAATTTTTCACTTCAATCTGTCGCTTTCATTGATTACGCGCATATACGAGATAAAAAAGCGGATTTTAATCTGCTGCCATAACAAAGTGAAATTACATTAGCGCAATTTGAAGCGGGAGGAAATTTGTCGTTACAATAGCTGCAGAAATGGAAATTCACGGCGTAGCAGAGATGAACAGCACACGACGTAATATTCTGTAACTTTTTATGACCATTTTGTTTTGCATAATTTACACCGCACATCGAACTTTTTTCGTTACTTTTGCATTTTTGTTGCGTTACGAGTTCCAGCTGCGGGAAATATTACTTTTCCACCCTTGTTCGTACGCGGAGACGTAACACTTTTAATTTTAAGTCATTCTCATTTGAAAGAAGTAGAATAAATATTTGACAGAGTAACAAATGGATTTTCATTTTTTTCTTTAGCAGTTTAACTGAACATAGTATTGTGCAGTTTGAGTAAAATTTTCAGAAAATTAGGAATTATGATTTTGTCCAAATTGAAACCATAAATGTCAAAAATATATGAATTACATTCGTTCGAAATTTAAAAATTGCATATGTTGTATCTAGAAAATTCATTCAAAGAAAGCCAATTATAAAAGAGACTTGAAGGAATCGCGACCGAAAGATTAACTCATAAATCGAGCGCTAGTTTGGACACGAGTTTCTATCTTTATACTTCCAATTTTTTTACCAGAAAATCCCAAAAATCCGACACCTCACATTTCCACCACTACATCTACCTCTCTCTGTGTATTTAAGAACCGTCCTATGACCAATGAAAAATTTACATATTTAGCCAATTCCTACTTTCAATATTAGCTCTGCCTAGACATATGAACCTTTCGAGCCTCACACCTCTTCCGAAAATCCAGTCAGTATTATTCTGAGCACCAGTCAAATAATATCC